TGACTCTACTTTGAGGAAGCGGCTCTTCCCCAGTTGTATTTTGAGTGCCTTCCAACCTGAGGGATTCATTTTCTGGCACTATATCAGACAATGTTCTGCTGCTATTCATAAGGTTTTTACTGGCCAATTTTTTCAGAAGTAGACGGCTAGGTCCTTCTTCCTAGTCTGTCTTAGTCTGGAAGCTCCACTGAAACCTGTCAACCAAATGTTACCTTGCTGGTATTTGAAATACCAGTGGCAATGCTTCCAGTATCACAGCAACACGCAAGCCACCACAGTACGACAAACTGACAGACACGTGGTTTGAAACTAAAATATGGTCCTTTAAAGAAGGGCATGTGTGAGTAAACAATAATGAGTTCAGCAAATAACTTAATGATTATTAAAATACTAATAAGAAAAATATAAAGCAATGATTTTAGGTTAAAACACACAGAAAGGTTTACTACACAAATTTGTCTTATCAATTAATAAAAACTAATTGACAGAACAAAACTACTTTAAAAACAATAAGAGTTATGCACAAAGCAATAACTTCAAAAATATTCATTCACCAAAGGAAAGTTATTAGTCCATAGACCTTAAACACAGACAAAAGTATAGCAAATACTAGAAAAAGAAATATGCAAAGTCTGAGAATTGTATCTCTACTTTATATGGTCCGGTGTTTGGGAACAAAGGATAGGCCATAATCCCCGGTATTGTGTGGTTGCCCTCCATTTTGTGATTGATTTTCCTATATGTTGTAAATCCTAATCTATGCCTGTGGTTAATGAGGCAAGATTGGATTATTTTGAAGAGGATTAGGGTGGGACGTAACGCGCTTGCTCAGGTCTCATCCCTGATCCAAAGTAAAGGGAGTTTCCCTGGGGTGCGGCCTGCACCACCTTTGATCTTATAAGAGATAAAAGGAAAGGGAAGGGAGCAGAGTTGGGAACCTCATACCACCAAGAAAGCAGTGCTGGGAGCAAAACAGGACACTCTGGACTCCATCATATTCCTCTTGGATTCATGGGGAGAGTTTGAGGCCCGGGGGGAGACTGCCCCACTGTAGGGGTGGATGTTGTGCTGTTGTGTGCCTAGGAAACCCCGTGGGGCAGTTCGACTCTGTCCTATAGGGTCACTATGAGTCGGAATCCAAGTTGCTACTTGGAAGATTCCAAAGGAAACCATAATGATAAATCTGCCTCTTTGCAGGAGGCTGTTTCAAAACAAGCTAAACAAATTAAAGAATTACAGCGTCAGAGCTCTGTAACCTCAATGACTACCTACCTGGCAGCAGCCCCTATACCCTACCTTCCCAAAATGACTCCCTTACTTAAAATGGCTCCCGTTCCCAAAATGGTTCCCTTTCTCAAAGTGTTTCCTTTTCCCAAAATGGCTCCCTTTATAAAAATGGCTACCTTTCCCAAAGAGACTTTCTTTCCCAGCCTCTGACATCCAGCTCCCCACCTTTCCCTCTGCCCTTTCCTGCAGCTACTCCCCTGTACCCCTCCTTACTGACCCACTCTACAGAAAATCCCCTTACTGAACCTCCATATTATCCCAGGGAACCTCTAGAAGACGTAAAACCCGTTTGTGAAATGCCTTTTTAAAATTAAATATCCTGAAGAGGCTCGGAAGTCACACACATTACTTTTGAGCCCTGGTGGTGCAGTGGTTAAGAGCTTGACTGCTAACTGAAAGTTCGACAGTTCAAATCCACCAGCTGCTCCTTGGAAACCTTATGGGGCAGTTCTACTCTGTCCTGTGGGGTCACTAAGAGTCGGAATCCACTCCACCGCAATGGGTGGTTTTTTTGTTTTTGTTTTTGTTTTTTGTCAAAAGTGGAACTTCATGCCATTGTTAAGGAATTTCCCAGCCCTTGTAAAGAGCCTTAAAAATTCACTCAAGAATTTCGAATCTTGGCTGATACCTACAAACTTGGCCTGGCAGATTTTTATAATTTAATAAATTCACTGATAGGGCCAGGTGACACTCAACGGTGGTTGGAAAAGGCCTGATGGAAACCTCCTACAGAATCCTTAACCTCCAGTGTGGGTATATATGCCATTTAAACATGGCTGCACTATTGACAACTGCAGCCCCCACAGGCTGCATGCCTGGCTCCAACATGTCGAGACTTATCCGGATGTGTTCTCCCAAACCTATTGTCCCTTTACTGATTGACTTGTTTACCTGAATTCCTTCT